TGATTGCAAAGACAACCAAAACTTTAATTTTTAAATTTTAGTCCAAATTATTAAAGTTTTGCTTTATTTTAATAAAACATTTTTGTTGTTTTTATTAGAGATAATGTTTTAAATTTAAAGAAAATTTATTTTCATTGTATATTTCTATTCTCATTATCATTCAATAATTATAAATTCAAAACTTATGTAATTTACTGCTAATTGATTGACAATTAATAAAAATATGAATATTTCATTAAATTTTTATTGAATTTTAAATTTTATTTAAATTTTTTGTTAAAATTTCATGTATTTGTCAATATTCACAATCGTATGAGACGACCAATATGTTAATATTTAACATAACGTAACGTAAGTTAATTCACATTAAAAACAGGTAATATTGCTTTAATTTTATCACAACATAAACAACAATATGACAAAAATTGCATAAATTATCACTAAATTATTTACTAGTTATGAGAATGTGAAGAATATTCAAAACTATTTGCATAAATAAAACTATATTATAGTAAACGCTTTTATAATGTGATAAAATTATAATAATAAAAAGTTAGGAAATAAGTTATGATTGAAATGAGTTGAGACAAGCGTGCGATCAATGGCTTGAGAGACACGTGAAGACTTGTGAAGACTCAAAACGACAACAATTATCGATTGAGTGAAAAGAAGTCGTTTAAACTTTAAAGCAATCGTTTTGAATACTAAATAACATTTATAAGTAATTCTTATAATTTATTTTTATGTTTGCGTTTTTTATTATTTCATTGCATATAATGTAGACATTAAACAGTGAATGACATGCGAAGAGACTTTAAAAGTTTTAAATAGGCTTTTATTTTATATAATAAGACTTATAAGCCCTGAAGACATGTCTCTAAAGTTAGTCTCTATATATGCATTGAAGTTAAGGTCAAAATGATTTATATATTCAATGTATATATAGAGTCTATATTATAGACTGAGAATTAAATAATTTTAACAATTATTTCCACAAAATTAATAATTAAAACCATTAATATTCACGTCTCAGACAATTAATTGCCTCAAATCGTTTGAGGCATACATTAACATAAATTAAGACTATATTTGGCGTAAAACTAAACATTAATTCCTAGTTTTAATTTAGTGCTAAAACTTTCGATATGTTTACTAAACAAACCATATCTTCCGGTCATTTAAATTTCTCAATACATTTCCTGTGAAATCAATTCATATATAAATTGAAATTAGTTTTAAATACGGAATGAAAATACAATTTTGAAATTAAATTTAATGTTTGGTTAAACTTAAAGCAAATAATATTAATTATAATTGAATTATTTACGAAATTGAAAGCAATGTTTGCTTTCATATGTAATATTAAATTACTTTCCAATTAATTACAGTTAACTTTAATAACAAGTTGTCTGTTCTGTAGAGCCGGTAGTTATGGGTCAGCAATGCTCACAACCAAACACTCAATCCTTCAAAACCTTAATTAATACTAATATTCAGTAATTATTCATAGATTTGACACAAATTTTTAATTTGTTTTTAAATTCAACAAAAAATTAAAACTAAGAGAAAATCAATTCATTTTATTTGACAGAAAAACTATAAATGACTACAAATTTTTTGGACATTAAATACAAATCATATGAAATGGTAATCAATATATGAAATGATTGTTGAATGCAATCATTGTTTAATCCATTGAATGACATAAGGAGTGAGTCTTATAATGGAAACCAAAGCCACGAAATTCATTAACTGTTTGTTCACTTCGTTTCGACATCTCTTCCTCTCCTCTTCGATGTCGAAGTCTTTGGCCGTATTTCCCGTCGAAAGTCGAAACATTGTCCACAAACTGATCCAAACGTGTCAACCAATTAGATGTATATCTCGACAGATAATATCGGCTTAAATGGCATTCAAATGGGATTCAAATGCAATTCAAATGCAATTCAAATGCAATTCAAATGCAATTATAATTTGGTTTCGGTTTTTGATGTCAAATGTTTTGATACAAAAATGAAACACATTTTTGAAAATCACGTGAAAATGAGTGCATTTATAGCGACATCTCTTTTTCCCAGTTATCACTCGTTTCTCTCAATTTTCATTCAATTTCATAGCATTAGAACTTCTAATTTAGAAGTTAGCATAAAAATGATCATTAAATGACCATCATCAATTATCATCACTTACATCCATCATTCATCATTTTAACCACTTTTAGTAATTAAATTTTGTCATATATTTATTGTTAAAAACATGTTTATATCGTTGTGTTGTCGAAGAGAGGCTTTCTCTACACAATTAAATATCTTATGGTTTAAACTCTCATTTCCTATTAATTACAGACAAAATGTCATTTCATTTGTTAATTAAGTTCTGTTTTGTTTTTATTATATTTAATGAATAAATTAATTAATTTGAAATAAATTATAATTAAATTTATAATTCATTTTCAAAAACATGTTTACTTAATATTTGTTAATTTATACATTCGTTAATTACTTTTAATTATTTAATTATAACTTCTATTAAAAATAAGGAAAAGTGGAGACAATTCATACAATATTTGTTGCAAAACATGTGATAATTATATTAACTTTTATCAATATATGGCATATTTTATCACGAATTTTATCAATAACTTAAAACTTTTTTCAGTTCACGTAAACTATTCCTTCATTAAAGTTTGGATATCAAAATCGCCGAACATTTCTTAGACTGCATTTCTCCGGAACCACAAGTGTTGGCACAAAAATAATTACACTGTTTTATAGTTGTACAAATTGTAGTTTGAATTTTATTCCAGGTGATATAAAAATTATTCTCAACAGTTGATGCATGTTTTAGCTATTATCAATGTTTGAACAAGGGCATTTTCATATCCAGTCTATAGTTCATAATTACATCATTTAATCCTTTAATAAAATGAACCCAATATTAAAACCACGAACTCTAGTCATATAAGGCATTGATTTGATGTTTAACGCACTTCTTGTACTAAACCTCAAATTATCATAACATTTAAATTGCATTTATATTTAATTCATTGGATTTATTGAATGAAATGACCTTAAAATACATACATTATATGCATATATAATGGCACTATAATAGCGATAAACATAATTAATGGCATTTTTAATACCAATTCAATACAAATAATTTGTTTATTGACTGGATGTGATTTAATCATAAAAACAATGGTTTGTACGGAAAATATATATATAAAGTGATGTAATTTAAAGGCATTCATAAACAACTAGCGGTGCAATAATGGGTGACCATTGGGTCAATCATTGAAACATGTCATTGAAACATGATGGCCGATTTGGCGTCCCTTTGCTTTTTGTCTACCAGTGCTGTCCAATCGGTTTCTGAGATCTTCTTAACCGTCAAAACCAATACCTGTTTCGCTTTTTCGGACAATTGTTTCAATCGATTCATAACGAGTTCAACGTTTACGGACTCGTCGTCGGAGTCGTGCCAACAATCGTAATCAGTGACCAAAGCGAGCGCACCGTATATGAGACCCAACTCTGCGGCCAACTGTGCTTCGGGAACAGTAGTCATGTTGACTATGTCTGCGCCCCAACTCTTGTGCAGTTTAGACTCGGCTAAAGTGGAAAAACGCGGACCTTCTATAGTGACAGTCGTAACCTTCGGGTGACATTTGAAACCCAATTGAGCGCAACTCTGTTCGAGCAGTTGTTGCAGTTTGGGATCAAATGGTCGTCCCTGAGGAATGTGCGACACCTTATAGTAAGTTCGCGACCGAAGACACGTGCGGTCGATGTACTGGTCGAGTACCGCGAAGTCTCCCGGAGTCAGCTCCAGCTTCAGTGACCCGCAGGCAGTGGTGG